GCAATAATTGAGTGCATACAAGTGGTGATAGCATTGGAATGGAAAGACAAATCAAAGTGGACAGTAAATAAATGGTGTCAGTATAGGGTGCATCAAATGGCATTAGAAATTTAAAAGGTAATGAAAATAGAATGCGAGAAATTGAAGAAAAATGGAACCGGATCAAGAAATATGTTATGAATAAGTCTAGAGATCAGGCCATAAGAAATAGAAAACAAATGTTATAGTATGTAAATCTATAAGTATTGTCTCAAAAACAATTAATATGTAAAAGAAAACAATCTTCCTGGGGGTGTTGGCAATAGGAAATGTTGTGTATGTGTATGTCTAACAAAATAATAATAATAATAATAATAATAATAATAATAATAATAATACATATCTGTTGTAATTTAGTAAACAGAATCCCCGCCTAATCAATTACTAGGTTTTGTAATTACATCAAACTCAAATAGGAAAAAAGTTATAATCTTTTGTTAATTTACAATGATAACATGAGGGTGTGTAAAAACTTACAGATTCAAATAAAAGAGATGAGTCGAGTTCGAAAGCACTTATTTTTCTTGCATCACAATGAGTCAGAAAATCTTTAATGAATTCAGAACTCAGAATTTTACAAAATCAATAAGGTGTTTTTTCTGTGATGGGTCTGAATAACTTATTTCAAAGTTTTCACTGAAATGTGACATCATTTTTTTTTTTACAATAATGAGAGAAATTAAAAAGCGACCCTGGTCATTTTTTACTTACTGTACCTCTGGCAATCCTATACTTTTAATGATATGGTTTGGTATTTTGGGTAGTTCCTGATGCTGGAGCACTGATCATACCGGACTCTCACACCATTCAAAACATTTTGTCATTACATAAAAGTTAAATCCCTTGAATAAACTACTACCCATGTCTTCACACTGTGTTTTATGCCATTCTTCCATGTTTATTCAGTTGCTTAACCTTCAAGGCCTTAACTGTTAATTACTATCTTTGATCCATGCTAAAACATATACTAAATATCACTTTTTCATCATACCTTGATTAATATGTTCTTTGAACTACAGATGTTTCCCTTCACTGTTCCTCTATGAATCTCAATGAGAGAGACCTCTTAACTGTATGCAGCAGATTGGCTGATGGAGAGTGTTACTCTAGCTCTACACAATTTCCGGGTATTCAGGATAAGCTCATCCATGTATGCATCTAAATAGATATTCTAAAAGCGGAGCATAAACCTCACCCAGAGAACTTCTATTGGGCTTATACAAGGGTTATCTGGAAAGTAAGATTACAAGAAAATTTTAAAATACAAAGAATTAATATGTTTTAATAAAAATGACATGGATTGTAGCATAGGTATTACATTATTTTTCCACATAATCACCATTCAGTTCAATACATTTTGTCCACCGTGGGATGAGTTTTTAATGCCTGTGTCATAGAAGTTTCCCTCCACCTTTTCCTGCAAGTTTGTCATTTTGATTTTCACCTCATTATCATCGGAAAAGTGTTTTCCATCAAGGCGTCCCTTCAGTTTAGTGAACAGATGATAGTCACTGGATGCGAGATTGGAGCTGTGAGAGGGGTGGCTTCAAACATCGCAACCAAATGAATTAAACAACTCTTGTGTTGCATGAGCAGTGTGCGGATGCACATTGTCATGAAGGAGACATACTCCTGCTGTCAGCATCCCATGATGTTTGTTTTGGATGCAAAGTTTATTCATGGTCCCACAATATATTCCATACCCATTATGTCACATGTTGTCTTGACATTATGTCCCCTTCATAAACTGTAATGATTTCACAATGAATTGCAGTGGCGTTCATGACCTTAGCATTTAGATAGCCAACTTGGAGGGAAATGGAATGAGGATGATCATCTCTAACCTTCACAACAACACCAGTCGATGAGTTACTGACGACTGGCACTGCTCATTCGCTTCCGATGGCTTCCCACTACATGGCAGTGGTACCAACTTCCCCCGCGAAAATTCCCTGTGAGAGCTATGTAACTTGTTACCTTACTTTTCAGATAACCCTCATACTTCACTGGCTGCACAATCTCAGCTTGAAGGCACCAGAGTGCAAACTCCACAACTAATAAGTCGTCATGGGTCAGCAGGAATCGGAAGTTCCATGTGTCATAGAATCTGTGCACTTCCTCTGCCATCCTTGATTTTGTGTGACTTACTTCTGAAAGTTCTAGGCATCTCATTCCATAAAAATCGCAAAGTAATATATAATGGCACAAATGGAATTTATGCTTGCATATGATCAACAGAAGTCCGGTTGCTAATCAGGAGAAGATTAATTTAGTGTAAATTTTTAAAAGGTTGTTAGTGAAAAACATGGAACTGAGATGGTAAATGCAAGGGTCAAGATACCACAACATGACTGCATAGCATAATCACCATATATAGAGTTAGGCTGAGGTTGTGCTCCCACTGAATAGAAGTTATAACTTCATGAATTCTTAGATATAAATGCATATATTTTATTTGTGCACTGAAAAATACTTTGTGATAGCCCTAACACAAATTGCTACTTGTACAATGGCCATGCACTTCAGCTAGGGCTGTGCAGCCTTGATCTGCATGCAATCAAAGTGCAATCAACAAATAAATCATTCAGTTGGCATTTGTGAATGCTTTCTGGTTTACATCACTGTCACAAATGCAAACAATACCTATATCTATGTTCTTTATTGTCACTGATGACAATTACTTATTATGTATTTTTTCCCCCATTGGAATCCCAGATTGAAATTGCTTGGTTAGTTCTGTGTTCTTTTCATTGATTTATTAATTCGGAATGCTTTGGTGTAATAAAAGATAAATTTTCAATGACATGTCTTTTTTGTATTTGGAATATTCTTGCCTCATAAATTAATATTTATGAGGCAATATTTGTAATATTGTTAGCAGGGGGGGGGGGGGGGGGGGGGGGGGCTTGAGGGGCTTCAGCCCCCCCCCCCAAAATTCTCATGGTGGTTCGCAAAAAGGCCTTACTGGTGCATTATTTAAACTGTTATGTTTATTCATATCATGATCTGATCACCATACTCAATATATCCCATATGCATGGGGGTATTGGGGTAATGATACAAAAGGTTTGCTAGGCTAGACCCTCTTTCACTCAGACTCAGCCCCCCCCCAAAACTCAGCCCCCCTGAAACCCCCTTGAACATTTTTTACCCCCACCCCCCCGAAACGAAATCCTGGCTACGGGCCTGTTGGTTAGCCGTTTTATTGTTTTAATGAGAAATAATTGACATGCTTATTTGCTGTTCAGTTTTGTTCTCAGGTGAGCTGGACTCATGGGAGTAATATCTCAAGAAGCCAAATCGGTCTTAAATGATGCTCTTTCTTGGCACCTTGCAAAGCAAAGCAAAGACGAGATTGTTCACACGTTATGTGACTCAAAATGTTTCAAGGAGAAGATGAATAACCTCACCCACCAATGTGTTTGGGTAAGTTTGATTTTGATGTATTCTTTGCTACCATCTGTTTGTCTGCCTGACAGTTTTCCATCCATCCATCCACCCATTCTTATCTATTATAAGGAAATAATAGATTACTTTTTAACCCCCTCCCCCTGCAAGTAGAATAACACTAGTAGAATAACACTAGAATTTTGTTTTTCCAGTTTGTTAAGTATTTTCATATGCACTCTTGTATGCTTGAAATATTAAAATGAGGAGAGACATATCATCTTTTTGCTATGTGGTTTAAATATTCCGTTACCATTTAGGATTTTCTAGATATAGATATTAGGGCTGGGCGGTTTCGTTTCGTTAATTCGTAATTCGTTAATAATTCGTTAATTTTTTCAATTACAAAACGATAACGAACCATTCTGGAGCAATTTAAAAAAAAACAAATTTTTAAATAGTTTTGCAAATGCTTCGTATTTCGTTATTGTATTCGTTTCGTTATTGTTTTGAGGTCGTTTCGTTATTATTTCCGCATGTCTGGGCCAGTTTTATGGTTAATTAGTGAAAAAAAAATATAATATCACACCAACAGTCAACAACAGAGGGAGAGGGAAGCTTCAGAAGGTTTTGGAGGTTTTTTAGCGTATTTCGCGGTCGCGTCCGCCATTAACGAATCGATTCGTTATTGTTTCGGAAATCGATTCGTTAATTTTTTACCATTTACGAAATTTCGTAAATATCGAACTTTTTAAAAGGAAAAATTTGTAATTATTTTAAATATCGAAACAAAAAAAAAACCCAAATACAAATCGATTTTAGAAACAAATTTTTCCGTTGTTACCCAGGCCTAATGATAACATACCAGTCAATTTCCACATAATTGTCCATTTAGTGGGGAAATGTATATATTGTCTGATAACAGAATAATGAGAATAAATGACTCATCTTTCCTAATATAGAATTTTTCTTCACTATCAAAACAAAGCAGTAGCTTTGGGCAAATTCTTCTAGCAGCCCACTAAACAATGACCGAGAGGGTTATCCAGTTCTAAGAATGGCATTCACTATCTGTTGATCTCCAAACAATACAAATATACACTAGATTAGTATCAACCAGGAACTATTGATGGTAGGTTGACAGCATGATATCATTCCAACTCAAAGCGCCCAAATACTCTATGAATCCCCTCCTGCAATATTAAATTTATGTAATCCTATATTGTGGCTGAATATATTGGCAAGCAACAGCTGCACCTTTTGTCCCCAAGAAAACCAGAGGATATCGATAAATCTAGATGTGATTTTTTAAACGTTAGAGTTATGCCTGTTTTCTTTAAGGCTGCAGTCCACCTGAAATCTCATTTCATATTGTATGCGATTGCTGTAGGAATTACTACACACAGGACTATTGCTATAAGATTTCTCAGAAAACAAACATGAAAAATTATTACACAAATGAAGTAGCAAAAATATCACTGTCCAAGAAAAAAAGAGCAAAATTTAAATGGCTATTCAAATATTCCAAAGTAGAAATTTAACTATTCTTTTAATTCTCATCCTACAGGAAATATCAAGATACTGAAAGCAGCATGGATAACCTTACTTCCATATCCTCTTTTCTGTTGCTGGAATTCTCAGATATGAGAGAACTTCAAATCTTATACTTTTTTGTCTTCCTAGCACTCTACTTGACTGCATTAATAGGTAACCTTCTCATTATCACTGTAGTTGCAGTTGATTCCCACCTTCACACTCCCATGTACTACTTCCTATTTGATTTGGCCACGGTGGACATTGGGTCAATTTCTGTTATGGTGCCTAAGGCTATGGCTATGTCCCTCAAGAATGATAGGTCAATTTCTTATGCTGGCTGTGTTGCTCAGGTTTTCTTTTATATTTTCTTCGTAGCCTCAGGTTATAATGTCCTAACTATAATGGCTCATGATCGCTATGTAGCAATCTGCCATCCACTCCATTATGAGAGAATCATGCACAAAGGAGTCTGCCTACAGATGGTAGCCATTGGGCTGATTGCTAGTCTTATTTATGCCATATTACACACTGTTGGTACCTTTGCAAATACTTTCTGTTCCAATATTGTCAATCAGTTCTTCTGCGAAATCCCACAATTTCCTTAGACATTAAGAAGGAAATATTAACATTTGAAAGATCATATAACTCAACGCCACACTTCCCATGTACTTTGTCCACTCACACAGGTTGAAATCTACTCTTTTTCTTTTGTGTTATTTCCTTGAGTTTTCTTCTTTATCAGATAGAATATAATTTGATAGAACATCTTCAACCAGAGGTAATAAGTACTGTTGGCTGTTTGTATAATCCCAGATCCAGCTTTAGGTCAACAGGAATGCCTCCTCCTTGTAGTGCCAGCATATGGTTACTCAATGCTTGTAGAAATGTGACCAGGTTAATTCAGTTTAAGGCTACTTCATCTTCCCAGTTTCATTACTGGGGAAACCAATGTTGCTTGAAAAGGTACTTATTTCAGCAGATTTCCTCAATGTACAATGCTCAGAAGGCCAAATACTTGGAGCTCTGAGATGTTTAGTTTAATGTTTGAGGACAATCTCAGTGGCCTGAAGCATAGGGATTTTAACTATGATGATACATGTGATTATTTTAGGCTTATTTCAATGTAATTTGTGTTGTTTGCAATATTTTGATTTATTTTTATATTGGGTTGGAGGGATGGTGGTTCCTGTATTTTGTATTTTTTGTTTTTTCTATTTTGTTTGCCACTTTGAGTTCCCTCCATGGAAGAAAAGCATGATAAAATGTAAATAAATAAATAAAAATAATAATGTACAATGTGCACATATAGGATGTTGCAACTGGGAAGCACCCTATGAACTCTAGCATACAAAGCAACCTGAAATGTGTTTGAAATATAATTATTTTACAGGTTAAAAATGTAAAACAAACATAGCACCCCCCCCACTCTAAAACACAACTTGATAATTCTTTAAGCATCTTCAGGCACGTGAGAGATTTAAAACAAATGGGAAAATTGAATGTGTCCCTTATTGGGACAGTTGCACTAATAAAAGTAAATGTTTTGCCAAGGGTCAGTTCTCATCCAGTTTGCTTATTCATAACTTAAAAAGAGATTTCAACAGGAGAAAAGTAGGCCTGTGCGGTTTCGTTCGTTAATTTCGTAATTCGTTAAACATTCGTTAATTTTTGCATTTACGAAACGATAACAAACCATATTTTCAAACCCGGAAGGGTTTTTAAATATCGAAACGGCAACCCCCACAGTTTTAACGAGCTTTCGCCCGTTTCGTAAATGGGGCGGGCGGGGCGAAGGGGCGGCGCGAGCGCGCACCCAGTGAGCCAAGCCCCGCGCCTGCCTGTTGGGCGCGAGCGCGGCTCCCGATTGGCCGGCGCGCGGAGGCCGGTTGTCTCTTTAAGGCGCCTCTCTCTCCCAGCTGTGTTGCAGGAAGTGCCAGGAGGAGGAGGAGGAGGAGGAGGGCGCAGGAGCCGGAGCCGGAGCGCAGGAGCCGGGGAGGGGATTCCTGCAGCGCCGGCTCTGCCTCCGTGGCCCGCCTGAGATGAGTATTTGGGCATGGCAGGGGCTGGGCTTTGCCTGGGAAGGGGCTCGTGTTTGCCTGCAAATGAGCTTTCTTTCTCGCAGCCAGATGCCTCTTTGCTCGGCAAGTAGGAACCGGAAAGCACCGGAACAAAGAAAGGTTTGCCTTTTGCATCTGCCGGCAGGAATTGCCCGATGGCTGCCGGTTGTAGCTGCTCTTTGGAGGAAGGAGGAGGAGGAGGAAGCAAGGAATGGAGCCCTTCCGAGTGCTGGAGCTCGGAATTAGTGAAATTCCCTTAACGGATCGACCCCGCGCCAATAACGAAGCTTCGGAAGTGTTTTTACGCATGCGCGGGGGTCCGCCATCTTTACAAAATGTTTTGTAAATATTTACGAAATTTCGTAAATACCGAAACTTTTTTTGGGAAAATTTTGTAATTATTTTAAATATCGAAACAAAAAAACACCCCAATTACAAATCGATTTTAGAACCAAATTTTTTCTTGATCAACCAGGCCTAGAGAAAAGCATGGAGAAAACTAGTTTTATTTGTAATTGTATAAAGATGGTGGTTATATAATTTTAAAAAGGGTACAAATGCCCTTTGATATTAGAGAGAAGTTGAAAACAATAAGGTGGGTCAAGAATTATGGGCACTATGAACAAATGAACATTTTTTTTTAAAAATGTGGCATGATATAAAATTAATCTTGTCCAGTGCTTTTGTAACAAAATATACATAAAAAGATACTTGCCAAAATGTCCACAAATGTTTCAAATTTATGTCATGCTTGTCAGGATAAGGATGGATCTTTTTCTGACATGTGGTGGACCTGCAAGAAGGTGAAAAGATCCATATCTTATCTGTGTATTTTATTTTATTGTTTTGTGTAAAAGACATTGAATGTTTGGCTTATATGTATACTGTAATCCTCCCTGAGTCCCTCCAGGTAATATAAATAAAGTTTGTTGTTGTTGTTGTTGTTGTTGTAATGGAAATTATATTAAATTAAATTAAAGGTAGATTGTGGAATTTAATCAGAAATTGTGTTATTGGAGAATTTTGCGAAGAAATTGAATTTCAAACAGAGATCCACACACAGACACACACACACACAATAACAGATGGAAGAAAACTGTATGATCAAACTTGGAAACAAATTGAAGCACCGATGAATGGAAGAATGGGTTGCTAAATTTGCAGAATTTGCCCAAGTTTCCAAGCTGATGTGGATTCTGAAAGATGAATCAATTAAACCTAACCCTAACCCTAAACCTTAAATTTGTAATGATCGAATAACATATCTTTTGTTAATTTGTTCTTATCTTCTCTTTATTATAGTTCATTGGGGCAAAGTTCTGAAAGATTAATCAACGGACATTCTAAGGAAATATTGGAAACTGTTTATGGATTTTTTTTGAGCAAAAAGATTGTGATTATGGCATCTAATAGTTAATAACTAGAATTTAGTTAAATCTGTAATGGTTGAATAACATATTTTTTGCTAATTAGTTATTTTCTTCTCTTTATTAGAGTTTATTAGGAAGCAGAGTTATTTTGTAACTTTGTAATGTAGTGTTTACTTGGTTGTAGGTATTACAATACCATAGATTAGTGACTTAGTAATGCAGCATTATGGTAGTTTACGGTTTGAGTTAAGTGTTAGTTTAGGATTAGGGTTAAGTGTAGTGTACTTTTATTTTAGTTATTCATATATTGTATGTTATTTATGTATAGTCCTTCTTTTCTTCTGGTTTTTTCTTGAATGCTGTTTACCTCAATGTTAATTAGTTTGTATACGTTTGTATACGTTAAAGCTAATACATAGCACTTAAAATTTAAATATTTTATATCTCTAACAATAAAATAAAAGCATATCTAACATCTCTGTGTATAGTTTAAGACTTTTTAACTCCAGCAAAAAGTAAAATTTCAGAAAGGGAATATAAGATTGTCCATGCATAAAATTTAAAAAAACCTCCAAATTCACAAAAAAACCAACAAGAGCAGTTACTAGAAATGTATCATTTTTAAAGCTAATAAATAGCACTTAAAGAATTAAATATTTTATATCTTTAACAATAAAAGAAAAGCACATCCAACATCTCTGTGTACAGTTTAAGATTTTTTGATAATTCCAGGAAAAAGTACTTAAAATTTCAGAAAGTAAATATAAGATTATCCATGCAGAACATTCCAAAAATACCTCCAAATTCACAAAAACCAACAAGAATAATTACTAGAAACATACCATTTTTTTCTAAAAGAAGGAAAATTCAATAATTTTCTTCACATTTTTTGGAGGGAAATTGCAATAGACGAAAATAAAAGGATAATAATAAAATTTATTTAGATCTCATGTGGCGTGGGTCTCCAACTTGCATCAAATGCATGAAAAAGCAAGGTACGAAGATGGCCGTTACCAGCAGCCCCCAACCATAAAATTATTTTAGTTGCTAATTTTGCTACAGTTATGAATCACAATGTAAATATCTAATATACAGGATGTATTTTCATTGTTACAAATTGAACATAATTAAAGCATAGCGATTTATCACAAAAATAATATGTTTGGGGGAGTATGGACAATGGAATGGGATTTGCAGTACCTTCAACTGATTCAGCTCTGACTTCCACAGACCACTGAGCCCCCCCCAAATTACAGACCTGGACCAAACTTGGCACACAGAACACCCATGACCAACAGAAAATACTGGAGTGTCTGGTGGGCATTGACTTTGAGTTTTGGAGTTGTAGTTCACCTACATCCGGAGAGCACTGTGAACCTAAACAGCTATGGATCTGGACAAAACTTGGCATGAATACTTAATATGCCCAAATTTGAACATTTGGAGTTTGGGGAAAATAAACCTTGACATTTGGGAGTTGTAGTTATTCTGTAGTTCACCTACAATCAAAGAGCATTCTGAACTCCACCAACAATGGAATTGAACCAAACTTGGCACACAGAACTCCCATAACTGACAGAATATCTCAGACTTTTCCAAGAGAATCCATACAGCAACAAGACTACAGCAGCAGGCCAAAAATTATCTACAGCCATAGCTAAAGCTAAAAAAGACCACTGGATACAACCACTTGACAAGCTTGACATGTCTAAGAGCAGCCGAAGAGCCTGGCAATTGCTGAGACACCTGGATAGTGACCCTCTGATCAGTTGTGGACACCTGTTGATAAACTCTACAAGCCTGATGTGTGATGGGAAGTTGCTGATAATGTGAGAGAAATAAGGTTGACCACTGCGAAAGCCACCCACTGCATGGCTACCAGCCTCCTCCCAGTATGTCCTTGAAGGGGGAAGAGGGGACTCCTTCCTCTGCCAAAGTGGTCCAGTGAGTCGAAGAGGAGCTTCAGGTTGCATGCCATGGCAGGGGAGGTTGCACAAGCATTTTTTTTTTTTCTTTTTTTTTTTTTTTTTTTTTTTTTTTTTTTTTTTCTTTTTTTTTTTTTTTTTTTTTTTTTTTTTTTTTTTTTTTTTTTTTTTTTTTTTTTTTTTTTTTTTTTTTTTTTTTTTTTTTTTTTTTTTTTTTCCTTGTTTTTTTTTAGGATTTTTTTTTTTTTTTTTT